ACTTTTTTTACAGATATATACTTTCCATATTTTGGGTATATGCCTAGGAAAGGAGTTGCTGGGTGGCAGAGTAACCCTATATTTAACATTTGGGGAACTGCTAAATCACTTCCACAAAAGCTACATCATTTACTTTCCCATCAGAATCGTATGAGGATTCCAATTTCTCTCCATCCTCATCAACACTTGTTACTATCTGTTCTTTTTTGCATTCTTGCCCATCCTTCCTTCCTACTGCATATGAGGGGAAATCTCTTGCAGTTTTGATTTGCATTTTCCTGATGTCTGATAAAGTTGAGCACCTTTTCATGTGCTTACTGGCCATTTGTTTATCTTCTTTATAACAACTGTTTAATGTTTCTGCCTGCTAATTCTAAATTCCATGTCAGTGTCAAGTTGGTTTTGATTGGATCATTCTTTAAGAAATATATTTTCTTGCTTCTTTGCATGTCTGATGATGTTTAGTTGCCAGACATTGTGAATTTTATTTCTTGGGTTCTAGATATTTTTACATTAGTATAAAATATTCTTAAGTCTTGTCCTGGGACATAGTTACTTGAAAACTGTTTGATCCATTTGGGTCTTTTTCTACTTTAAAAAATTCATGTGTAATTTTGAGATGATATACACTATATTAGTTTTAGTTGTACAAGGTAATGATTTGATACTTGTATACATTGCAAAATAAACATCACAATAAGTCTAGCTAACATCCATCACCACATGTTGTTAAAAATATTTTTCTTCTAATGAGAGCTTTTAATATTTCCTATCTTAGCAAGTTAGAAATATATAGTATAGTATTACTAACTGCAGCCACCAAGCCATACATTACACCCTTAGGTCTCTTGACCATCTTCACGCATTTTACCTGCTCCCTCACCTCTAGCAACTACCAATTTGTCATCTGTACTAGGAGATTTTTTTTTAAAGATTCACTTATTGGTGAAATCCTATGAAATTTGTTTTTCTCAGATTTATCTCACTTAGCATAATGTCTTCAAAGTTCATCTGTGTTGTTGCAAATGGCAAGATTTCATACCCTTTTATGGCCAAATAATATTCCATTGTATACATACATTCCACTATATATATAATTGTAACACACACACACACACACACACACACACACACACACACACAAAATGAGGTCTGTCCGAAAAAAGTCCAGCCATTGTTAATATGAGAAGGGTTGCGAAAGCGACATGGATGTAACCTGGCAGTCAAGGAGAGTGGATTGGAATGCACATGCATGAACAATGGTGACTTCACTGTATTTGTCAGTGGGGATGATAGACACCCTTGAGTGAGCATGTGTACTGTGTGGCCGTCACATTCAAAATGATTGAGCGAGTAGAGCCATGAATCTGCATCAAATTTTGCATTAAGCTTGAACATTCCTCCATGGAAACTACTTGGATGACTCAGAAGTCTGCAGCTATGGGCAACTGGTGATTGGCAGCTTCACCATGACCACATGCCCACTCATGCACCACGTCTCATACAGAGTTTTTTGGTGAAACATCAAATCACCCAGGTTACTCAGCCCTACTAAAGCCCAGATTTGGCACCCTGTAACTTCTGGCTTTTCCCAAAACTAAAATCATCTTTGAAAGGGAAGAGATTTCAGACCATTGATGAGATTCAGGAAAACACGACAGGGCAGCTGATGGTGATTGGGAGAACTGTGTGAGGTCCCAAGGTGCCCACTTTGAAGAGGACTGTGGTGTCATTGTCCCATGTACAATGTTTCTTGTATCTTTTTTCAATAAATGTCTCTATTTTTCATATTACATGACTGGATACCTTCTGGACAGACCTCATATATTACATATATACATAACAATTTCTTTACCCACTCATCCATCCATGGACACTTAGGCTGCTTCCATGTCTTGGCTATTGTAAATAACACAGCAATGAACATGGGGGCAGGTATATATATATCTTTTCAACTTAGCATTTTTGTTTCCTTTGGATAAATGCCCAGAAGTGAAATTGCTGGACTGTATGGGGTTCTATTTTTAATTTTTTGAGTAACCTCCATACTGTTCTCCATAGTGTCTGTAACAATTCACATTGCACAAGGGTTACCTTTTCTCCACATCCTCGCCAACGCTTGTTATTCCTTATCTTTTTGATACTAGCCATTTTAACAGATGTAAGGTGGTATCTCATTGTGGTTTTAAATTGCATTGGCCCGATGATTATTGACGTTTAGCACCTTCTCACGCACCTGGGTCTTGCTTGTAAGATTTGTTGTGTGGGATTAGAGCAGAGCTCAGTCCAGGGACAGTTATTCTCTACATCTGATGCCGGACCTTTCTGAGTACTCCACCCCATGAATCCGGAGGTGTTTCTAGTCTGGCCGATGGGAACGGGTATTACTTCCAGTTCCATGTGAGCTCTGGGTACTGCTACTGCTGAACCTTTCAGGTGATTTTTGCCAGCCTGAGGCAGTTTCCCCACATGCATCTGTCGATCGGTACTCAGCTTAATGCTTGAGGGGAACTGTCTTCAGTTCTCTTTGTAGCTCTCCACTGTCGAATACTCTGTCATGACAATGCTAACCCCCTTGGTTTCTCTGGACTCTCAGCTCCGTTGCTCAGCTCAGCAACCCAGCTGGGCTTGCTGGCATTGCCCCTCCCTGCACCAGAGCCCAGGAACTCTTCTTAGGGCAGCGGGCTGGCTGCTCGTACAGCTCACCTCATTTCCCGTCTCTCAGAGAGAACGGCCCTTCCTCGAGTCTTATACAGTACCTTGCAAAACACTTTATATTATTTGTCTGTATTTTGATTGTTTCAGGAAGGAGGATAAATCTTACTCTCCAAATTGGCCAGGAGTGAAGGACAACTGATTTTTCTGCTGAGTATGGGTTACACTTCTTCTGGCGAGGAGTACTTGATTGTATACTAGGAACTGTGGAGTTTACATTGTTCAGTACCCGATTTGTCCTATTTTTTCAATGAATGTTGGGACTTTTTTTCCAGTGTCCTCTTGTCCTTGTCCTCCTTGAACCCTGATCTCAGTCTCCTCTCAACTCAGCAAGATTCCTGGGTTCTGTGTGGGTCCCCCTGGCTTTCCTGCAGCTCGGAGGCTGCCTCCAGGCAGAAGGCCGGGGAGACGGCAGCTCTCATCTCCCTTGCTACCTCTCTCTTAGGGGTCAAGTCCTGTGCTGCCCGTCCTGTCTCAAAGAGTTGTCCAGTTTTCTAGCCGTTACAGCAGAAGGATAATTCTGCATCTTTTCATTCCCCTATGACCATGAGTGGAAATTTCAATTTATTTTCAAATCTGCTGGATCAGTTTGATTACTATGCTAGTGCTGGTACATTTTTATAAGTATTTTTGATCCACAGTTGGGAACCCACTTATGTGGAGGGCTGACTTAAGTTATATGCAGATTTTCCACTGTGCAGGGGTTGGCACCTCTAACCCCCACATTGTTCAACAGTTCACTGTAATTCTTTTCATTTCATACACCCTTAACATTTCATACATCCTTAATCTATAACCTACTATGTGAAGTCCTGGGTGTCTGAATCTGTGGTTTGTTTCTAGTCTTTCTCACTCACAGTCATGCATTTCCCTGAGTGGCCTATGACTTGTTGAAAAATGAGCACATTTAGTTGCTTTTAATTTGCAAAAACCCGAGCACCTACATTTCAAGGAATGTTTCCCTTCAAAGATTATTACAACATAACAGTGAGGAGTCAGGGTAGGCTGCTCGCCTAGAACCTCTCAAGCCCCTTTCAGGGTCCTCTCCTCAATCAAGGGTTCTTCAGTTCACCTGCCCGTCTCTTCTCTTCCCTAACAACGTTGGCAACATGTGCCCTCAGGTAGAGCCCCGACTTTCAGGTGTGCTTACTGCTCACCACTCCAGTTTCAGCTGTCCTTTGTTTTGGCCCTGAGATGCCTCCTTCTTTTTCTGCAAGTACAGCAGAGAGGCCCCTTGCTGTGTCTAGTGCGCCCTGCTGTCAGAAGGACAAACCTGGGTTTCCTGTTTCATCTCTTGTGGGTGCCCTAAACACATCGCCCAAACTTGGAGCCATCATCGGCCCTTGGGCTTCAATTACCAACTCTATTTGCCTGGCCTTTAAGTCTATACTTCTAGATTTAACACGTCCCCCATGAGTGAAACCCACATTCCCAACTGCCTACTTGCCATGTCTGATTTAGACTCAGTATATCCAAATCAAATACAACATCTTTGTCTTCTGTCTCCACACGTCCAAGAACTTTTCCCAGTCACAAACCCCAAACATTTCAAGTTGGAACATATTCTCAGAGCTCATTTTACAGGTGGGGAAAATGAGGACCAAGGATAGTAACTGATTTTTTGCTCATCAGTTCCACATAGTTCCTCTAAAATATCACTTTCACCGTTTCTTCCCATTCGGACACCTTCAGTGGCTTCCCCTTTGCCTGAACCTTAAGACCCTTGCAGACTGCATGGTCAGAGTGTCCTCCCCATTACAACAGTCCCTTCCCCACTATGCAAACAAAAGCAAAACAAACTTCAGTGACTTCCCAACAGCCACAAGATTGTGGCTTGGCATGGGAGGGTTACCCAAATCCAGTTTTATAGCCCCTTATTCCCATGGGTGAAGCCTCTGCTACGGGCAAGGCTAACCCTCCAAATGTTACTTTTGTCCGTGTCACTCAGCCCAGAAGACTCGTGTCTTTACCCAATTCTACTGAAATTCTACCTCTCTACCCAAAATACAGCTTAAATATCAGTGCTTTTGCTAGTGTCACCACACTGAAATTAATTTGTCCAACTGATAATATTTTTTTTGGCATTTCTGATCTGTGAAGTCACAGGGTATTTATTAAATTCTGCTTGGAACTATGACATTTTTTTCCTTTCTATTTTATGTCCTTTCAAAGTTTCTCCTGGCAGAAAGCAACTGTTCTGTGTTCTCCACCATCCTCAGCACAGTGCTGGGCACTTGGGCACTCAGTGACATTGGCTGAAAGAAGTAAACTCAAGAGGTCCTTACCTTAGTGATGTCCGTGTGATCTTTGAGCCCATTGGTCATGCACCAGTATCGCCACACATTCAGGGCATAGCGCGTGGCTTTGGTAGTGTTTGGGCTTACTGCACTGGTACACAGATCATTCAAGTCATCATTAATATTAAATACAGGAAATTTGTTGAGCTTAGTGGAATAGGCTAGAAACAGAAAAAATAAAGGGCATTAACAGAACTTGCCATTCCTTTCTTTAGAGAATTACATCTTGAGCTCATGTTAAATAACAGGAGGCTCCTAAGAGATAGCACTTATAAAAAATGAAATTTCTATCAAGTATACATATATCCGGATAAATAGAAAGCAATATTTCTAGCATAAAATCAACGCAGTAACCCTGCATTTAATCACAACAATTTGCCATATATGCTAACTGATGTACTCATGCAGGCATTCCAATGACAAAAAGCAGGGGAAACGAATGCAGGGAAACAAAGAATATTCTATCTAAAATTTTCACTGGAAGAAACAACATTTCTATTAACAACAACAACAAAATGACAAATGGGAAGACAAGTTACATGTCCTTTCTCCTTACCCTTAGCACATGAAGAGCTGTTATTTCTCTGTAATATACAGCCTCAGATGCCTTAATGTGCCATCTTGGGCAGCCGTGAACTAAACAGTATTAGCATATTTCTTAAGTTCTTTTCAAAAATTAATAAAGAGAAAGACATTTGAACCTGACTCCACAACTCATCAGCTAGCTTAGAATCAGAATGCTAGGGAGAGGGAGAGACATATTAGGGGAAAGACGGGGAAGGGATACTCCAGACACTCACATGTCTCAGAAAAAGGCAACAGGTTTTAAGATGCAATTGCCAAATTACTTCATATTAAAACTCATTTTCCTCAATGTATCTACTTTCTTGGTTACCAAAGACATAGTCAAGTCCATAACCATTAGCGGGCCCTTCCTCATACTCTGACCTACTAAAAATAGGCTTAAATTGTTCATACTGTGACCTTTGGCTAAAAAAAAATCAAGGTAGACCACCGAAAGTAAAAATGATGCCAATTCATATTTTATATCTAGTGGTTCTGACCTTCTCTAGAATGTTTCTATGTTCAAAACAAGGAACTAAATAGAGAAATAGAAAACTGAAAAGGTAGTTCAATGACCAAGGTGACCCACAAATCCGCTTCACTTTACCTAACTCACCTCACCTTTCACTGCTCCCACCGAGGAACTCGAACCACCAGCCGCCTGCTGCTCCCAGCACCTGGCTACACCCAGGACGCCCACACCCCACCTTCCCCACACTCAGCCTGAGAAATCTCCCCACGGTCTTTGTATTAAATCAAAAGTGCCTTTTTTCCCATTCCAATTCAAAGCTCACTTGTACATGTTTGTCCATTCTGCTCAACTCCCTTATTCTTTCTTTCAGTGTGTCCCACATTTACTTTATTCTGTAGAATTGTGACCTGTGTTAGGAAGATCTCAATGGGTTTGTATGCTCCTGAAGACTCTGCCTTCACCCTTTAAGCCTGCTGTTAACTGTTGAACACACAATCTGCTTTAACAAATGGTTGTAGCAGGACAGGAATAAACGTTGCTAGCAAAGTCATCTGAAGCATGTGAGTCACGTAGACACATTTCTCTCACCACCCTCATAAACTGAGGTAACTTGTGTTACTTCTGGGACTTGCTTGATATTAATGAAAAGATTCTAGCATAAAATGTATTACTATTACATCTAGCACTAACATCTACTAGCATCTGCTTACTATATACCAGAGGTGTCAAACTCATTTTCACCAGGGGCCACATCAGCCTCACAATTGCCTTCAAAGGGCCGAATGTAACTTTAGGACTGTGTAAATGTAACTACTCCTTAACAGTTAAGTGAGAGCTGGGCACTGCCGCTGGGTAGAAACAAGGTGGAGGGCTGAATTCGGCCCACAGGCCTTGTGTTTGCCACCTGTGCTATATACCAAGAGTTATATAAAGTATCTGTAAGCTCTAAGCAACCCTACTGTTGTAACAATTTTACAAATAAGGAACCAGAACTCTCTCTCAAACAGTTCGTAACTTCATACATCGTGCACCCAATACTGACTGAGGTACACTCTCCGTGCCAGGCACTGAGCCGTCCCGAGTCATACAGTTAGCGAGTGCATGAGCCAGCCAAGTCCAAGCGCCGGGATTTGGACTTGTGTCCTGCTGACTCTATGCTCTGGACACTGCGGCAAAAGAATCAGGTACTACAGAGATCAAGTTCTCAGTAAAGAATGCGATTTAAATACTGGCCACTTATAAAAAATATATGCTGCCTCCCAAAATGGCCTCAAATTAACCTGCAGAGAGGAAAACTAAGTCTGATTTATTTAGACAAATACTATAGTTTCAATAGTTTTTTAAATACAACAAAAACAGGATTTATTTGCAACACAGCTCAGTCCCCATCACTTCATTACAGCATAAGCACAGGAAAGAGTCACTGCAAGATAGGATGATTAGGTTTAATTATTATGTTAAATGATGCAACCTTAAATAATTTCACTTTAATAACAGGGCAGAAGGACACAGACTGTACAATGAAAATGGAACCTGTATGCCCATGGAAGTTCTGCCAGTTGCCCCAATAATGTACTGCCCTGGGAAGGGGTCCAGTTCAGCATCATGTATTGCGTTTCGTCCTGCTCCTCGGTCTTTCACGGATTTTCCCTCACCTGCTTGTGCTCTGACACCTGGCTGTGATGTGCCCCTCCCAGACACACAGATGCCCCCCTTACCCACTCCCAGCGTGGCACCCGGCACTGGGCCATCCTCCAGACACGGACACCTTTCTCACGCCACTCAAACTCACACATCCCATGCCGGAAGCCCTGCTACATGGAAGCCTTCATCACCCTTCCTGGGATGACACCTCACACCAGGCCACCCCTATGCGTGGAAACCCTACTCACTTCAGTATGGCCCTGACTTCTCACACAGGGCTTCTCCTCATGTTCCCCGCTGCAGTGTGGGGGCCCCACTCACCCTGCTCAGGCGATCATGCCACATGCCTGGCCACGCCTCCATGGGATGTTTTTCTCTCCCAATTCAAGCTGTTACCACTTTGCCAGATTGCCCCCTTCCTGAAATATATTTCCTGCCCCAGTCACTTGCCTACGGCCCTCACTGGGCAGCTCTCCGGTGTACATGCCCTGTTGACACTTTGCAGGCTTCATGCCTGACCATCCCAGCTCCTTCAATGCACACACACTCCAGTGCCAATGCCTGCTCTGCTCTCCCCACCAGGAGCTTCCAAACTGAAGAGTTCAGGGGAAAAAAGGGAAGGGGAAGAAGAGAAAGAAGGAAGAGAATTCTAAATTTCCATTTTGTTAACAGACAATTAAGTAATCATATACTTCTAAATAAACCCTTAGTGAAAGGAAAACAAAAATCAGTGGGACTTAGTATTTCAAACTGAATGATAACACAACTGAATGATAACTTGTCAAAGTTATGGGATAAGGTTATTGTAGTGTCTTTAGGAAAAATGATTATATTAAATTCAGAGATTAGAAAAGAAAGGCTGAATATCAACTGTATCAGGGCATCAAAAAAGAGAAAAACAAATATACCCAAAAAAGTACAATGAAGGAAACAAGACATGTAAGAACAGAAATCAATTAAAGTTTGCAATAAAAAAAATAGTAATGCCAAAAGATGGAGTTGAAAGACTATTACAATTAATACATACATAAGAAAAAAGGAAAAAGCACAATTTCTACAGCAGAAATGAAAAGGGAGTTATCACTGCAGACCCTACAGATATATTAGAAAGACAGTAACAATATTATGACCTTGATGCCCATAGATTTGAAATTTTGGATAAAATGGACAAATATCTAGAAAAGCCACGTTACGAAAACTGAACAGGAAACATAAAATTTAAATAGTCCCATACCCATTAAAGAAATTCAATCTATAATTTAAAATCTCTCTCTCTCTCTCTCTCTCTCTCTCACACACACACACACACACACACACACACACACACGAACCCTTCAGGTTAAGATAGATTTCACAAGTAAATTTTTACAATTTAAGAAACAAATAATGCCAAACCACAAAACTCTGGCAGTGAATAGAAAAAAAAAGAGCACAATTTAATGTCTTTTACAGGGCAGCATAAGTTTGCTATAAAAATATGACAAGAAAAATGCAATAAAAGAAAATTACAAGCCAACACAGCTCCTAAACAGATAAAAAAATCCTCAACACAATATGAGCCAACCGAACGCCTATAGTGTGAACACTATAAACAACAAAATTCCAAATGTATTGTGACCTCTGTGTGAATTGTAGTAACAATAAAGTTCCTAGAAGAAAACACAAGAGACCATTTTTGGGACCATGGGGTAACTACATATTTTCAAATAGGACATCAATCTTATTAGCCCCAAAGCACAAGATCAATAAATTGGATTTCATTAAAATTAAAAAGACACTTATCAAAATGTGCCTAAGGGGGTGAAAAGACAAGCAAAACAGTAGGAGATAGTTGACAAATATATCTGAGAAATCAATTAGAAGGAAGATAGTCCAATTAGAAATGGACAAACTTGAATGGGCACTGCGTATAGTAAGAAATTATCATTAACATTTCAGGAAATATAAATTAACATACACTCACCAAAACATCTAAAATTAAAAACAAAATCTATAAACATCAAGTATTGGTGAAGATGTGAAACAACAGAACTCGTTCACTCATCTGGTAGGAATGTCACTTTGTACAGCCACTTTGGAAGTTAACAGGCAGCATCTACTCAAGTGAGCACACATGTACTGTAGGATCCAGTGATCCTATGCCTGATGTACAGCCAACACTACAGTGTGTTATATGTACTAGCTGTTTTAGTCACTTGAAGTCTTAGAAAAGATTATTATAAATAAATAAATTTAAAATAAATAAAACTTTAAAAAAGAGAACATTTCGTGATTTGCAGGCTAAGTATTACTCAACCTGAATTCTAATATTCTTCCTCTATCAGGGAAATAAAATCTGTCACATTTTAATTATGTAACTTGTTTCTTAAAGTAGTACAAAAACATGAAAATTAAGTTACAACTATTTGTAAAGTAATTTTAATGCCATTTAAAATACTATCATCAAAGTACAGCTATTGCTATTTGCAATACTCAGCTTTC